ATGTTAAAATGTACACGTGAGTAATTCTACAAGGACGTTACACATGTACTGTACCTCATGTAGCTCTTCTCTCTTGTAGGTTATTGATACTCAATATTGAGTAGAGACAGCAGGAGACATACTGTATTGGAGTGATTCATAATGACTAGGTATGCATTCAGTTGGTTTATATATAATAATCAGCTTATAATGTAAAAGTATATGTACATACACAATTTTACACATATATATGGAATGAAATTGCTTCATCCTTATTTATTTATTTGTTTTTATATAGTAGCACTAGTAATCCTGATACTTGGCGTAATGATCTTTGGTTAAGTGTTAACGATGATGATGATCATGATTCTGATACTGATTCAAGACTATCTGGATCAGTAATGGTTGACTCAGTCATGTAAGAGAGAGAGAGAGAGACAGAGAGAGGTGAAATTGATTTATTATTATTTTATAGGCGAAGACTACAGCAGAAAGGTTACCATAGTAACCACAGCGGAGGTGGGAGTGGTACAATGTTAGATCCAATTGCTGATCATTCACTTGAAACTGATAATACAGGTAATAACCACACCCACTTTTAAAATAGCTATAATAATTCTTAAGAACATTACTTACTGTATTTTTCTTCTTTAGATGGAGACTTCTCTAACAGTTATTCAAGACGATCAACTGAACCAGCTGTCGTTGTCAATGGTTACCAGCAGACACGCCCCTCTCCATCCCATAACAGCAGACGAGTCTCGGCTCCGTATGTTCCAACGTCACCAAAGACGAGTCACAGGATTGGGGGAGGGGTCGGGGGGTCACCTGGGAGGCGTGACCATATGGTACATCCTTTTACTGCTGGGTAAGGAAAAATATTCATGTAGCATTATTATTATTATTATTATTATTATTATTATTATTATTATTATTATTATTATTATTATTATTATTATTATTATTATTATTATTATTATTATTATTATTATTATTATTATTATTATTATTATTATTATTATTATTATTATTATTATTATTATTATTATTATTATTATTATTATTAATTTCAGGAGGAGAAAGGATCACATATTACTGAGTCCAGTTCCTGAGAACGTGTCCAAGAGTGTCACCTCAGAAGTGGGTGAGGCTAATTTCGGAGGGCCACACCTTTTTATGGATGGAATGGGTGGAGCATTGTCTGGCCCTACCCACCGGAGCATGGAAAACGTAAATTTAATTTTAAAATTTATTAAATTCATTATCATTATTATTATTACTATTATTATTATTATTGTTATTATTATCATTATTATTATTATTATTATTATTATTATTATTATTATTATTATTGTTATTATTATTATTATTATTATTATTATTATTATTATTATTATTATTATTATTATTATTATTGTTATTACATGTATTAGGTTGGCGGAACTAGTTATAATTATTTTCATCAGCAGCATCATAAAACTAGTCCTTCTCATGCTACTCGTCCATCACCCGAAGGCTATCAGTCTCCGCCTCTTGCCCCGCCTACCTCTAGTGGAGTGATGATTGGTCGTACAGGAACTCCTGATCACATGACGAGATCAGCATCCGATCACTCACGGTTCATGCAGCAGCAAGGTGTGACTGCGTTTATAAATACTTCAAAAATACCCAAGACTATAGCCCATGATTTATTTCAAAAAATGGCTCCAAAATCACCTCAAATTTTTATTACATTTTCTGATACACATTGATGTACTTATGCTGTGTAGAAAGTTTGAGCTGATTCCGACTTCAATTTTTCAAGTTATGACCATTTTTTTAAAACTCTAAATTTCTGAAAATAGCCCATGGTTTTTTCAAAAAAATGGCTCCGAAATCACTCCAAATTTTTATTACATTTTCTGATACATATTGATGTACTTATGCTGTGTAGCAAGTTTGAGCCGATTCCGACTTCAATTTTTCAAGTTATGGCAATTTTTTAAATCGGCCAATTTTTGAAAAATACCCAAGGCTATAGCCCATGGTTTTTTCAAAAAAATGGCTCCGAAATCACTCCAAATTTTTATTACATTTTCTGATACATATTGATGTACTTATGTTGTGTAGAAAGTTTGAGCTGATTCCAACTAGTTACTTGTACAGTTTGAGCATTTTAAAAACTAACAAATCATTTATTTTCATTATATTATTGTTATTGTTTCAATTTCAGGTGGCAGTGGTCGTAGGGTAACCCTATCATCCCATCCCTCACCGTACCACCAGTACCACCCTCCAGCCTCCTCCCTCCTCCCTGGGAGATCCCCTCAGCTTCCCTCAAGGTTCAGACATCACATGACCACCAGCTACCATGGAGATAATCAACAGTTTCAGAGCAACGTTGCAGCACAGCGTAAGAGACAGAGGGAGGGAGACAGAGAGAGAGAGATACAGAGACAGAGAGGGAGACAGAGAGAGAGTACATGTAGTTGTATAAGTATACAGGTATACACTATACTGAACTGTTGATGACCTGTTTATAAGTGATTCCTTCACATTTATCACTTGTCACCTACCTAAGGCTTTCACACTTCTATCCCGTTGTCACGACAACAGCTCTACCCCTATCCTCTTGAGCTAGAACAAAAGAAGAGAGAAACAAGACAGAGAAGACTACCTCTACCAGCAGCTCTCTCTCTCACTCTAGCTTTGGTTCCTAGTAACTTGTAGTCTTAATCTTTACTTTATCAAGGGGTTCCTCCTCCTGTTGTTATGGCAGCATATGTTCCTGATGTCAGTTCTTCCTCTCACCATCGTCCCCGCCGAGCTCATTCTCATAAACCACGCCCCCTCTCCCCTCACCCCCTCCCTCTTCACCTTCAAGACCCTCACCACCGCTCAAGAGTCAGACGTCAAGACCACACCTCCTACCCCGCCCAGGGCCACCACTCTTATAGATATGAGAGGGTACCTTGCTGTTCTCCTTGTCACAGTACCGTCAGCCATTTCATCTACTCTCCTTCTCCCTCTCTCTCTCCCTCCCCCTGGTACCATTCTCCAAGGACCAGTTCTGCCAGAAACACTTTTGAATACTCAAATCATTTACATTCTCGTTCATACGCCCACTCCTTTGATTTCCTTGACACACCCCCGGTCTCCGCTGGTAGGCGTGGCCACCAAAGATCCTTTGATTTCCTTGATTCCCCGAGGGGTTCACACTGTAGGCGTGGCCAAACGACATCGTTTGATTTCACTGATGCCCGTTGTTGTCCAGATTATTCCAGCGTCCGTGTACCGTCGCGCCGTGTCGCGTCCCACTGTCACGAGAGGCGTGGCACATCGGTCATTATCGGAGGTGATTGGTACGAGCCGAAGTCACACGACTCCATGAGTACCTTATCAACGGCTAGTTCAAGGGCTACAGGGGGAGTGGCTCATCAGGGCCCTACCTCACCTCTTATAGAGTGCAGGGCCACGCCCCCTGCTGTGTTAAGAGTTAAACAATTACCGACTTGTCGTAGGCCATATTACTTTAAGAGTGAGTGGGTGGAGCCTCGTGATTATCTTAGCTCAGTGTGTGTGTGTTAGTGAGATCTGTTTCTACATGTACATTAATATACACGTACTGGATATTATTATTATTATTATTATTATTATTATTATTATTATTATTATTGTCTTTTTGTTCTTTTAGATGATTCAATTGAGCAGCATATATCAAGTTTGGGTCACGCTAATCATCACGGATCACAGCATGAGCCTAACCTGAACGATGTTGTTGATTATTTGAGTCATTCTGATCCTTCAACGGTAGCTAACGCAGCGTCTTACATACAACACTTGGCATATGGAGACGATAACATGAAAGCAAAGATTAGGTAACACTGATACTGATACTGATATTAATACTGATACTTATATTGATACTGATACTGATATTGATACTGATATTGATACTGATATTGATATTGATACTGATACTAACCATGTTCACGTATCACTGTTCATTATACGTGTAAATTTAAATTATTTTCTTTCTTCTCTCAGACAATTTGGTGGTATACCGGCTTTACTCAGTCAAGTCCGTAATCCTGACCCTAGAGTCCAGCTAGCGGTTTTGGGTGCCCTGAGAAACCTCTCCTACGGACGAGCTAACAACGAGAGCAAAAGCCAAATAGCACAAGATGCTGGTCTACCTAATATAGTCTACCTGCTGAGGAATAACTCACAGCCTGAGGTAGTCGGATATATTATTATTTATTTATTTATTTATTTATTAATTAGGTCAGGGAGCTTGTCACTAGTGTTTTATGGAATTTGTCATCATGTGAAGTATGTTCATTTATTATTATTATTATTATTATTATTATTGTTGTTGTTGTTGTTGTTGTTGTTGTTGTTGTTATCATTATCATTATTCATTATTAACAGGATATCAAGTTAAGGATACTCCAGTGTTCTCTGAAGGATATTGTCGACACTATACTAATTCCCTCTACTGGGTATGGTCCAACTTATCCTGCCGCTAGGGACTTCTCTCAAAGAACTAGCGTATTGCACTGGACAGCCGAAATGAAGAACTCTCTCGGTAAGAAAAGAGAAACAAATTTGTGTGAATGTGCCACAATATATTGTTCAAAATGACCAGATATTATTTATGAATTATTGACCTTTTCTCCTGGGCAGGTGCTATACGGAATATATCTTCGGCTGGTGTGGAGGCCAGGAGGTTTTTAAGAGCCTCTAATAACCTTGTGGATACACTGGTCTGGATTGTAAGGGCAGCAGCAACTCAAGAGAACGTTGACGAGAAAGTAAATAAGTGTCATATTAATTAGACCAGCAAACTAAAATACAGACCAGCATACTAAATTATTATTATTGTTATTATTGTATTTTTAGACTGTTGAGAATGCAATTTGCATTCTGAGAAACCTCTCGTTTCAAATTGAAGACGAAGTTGATACCCAACAGGGAGCAGATGATGATATTGACAGTCAGTGGGAGAGACAGATACAGCAAGAGATTGAGGCAGCTAAGGAAGCTTTGCATCCGACCAGCAAGAAAACAAAGTGAGAGAGAGAGAAAGGAGAGGAGGGAGAGGGCTAGTGAGAGAGTTTGAGCTACAATTTTAGTTCATTTTGACTATTTATTTATTATTATCATTTTTCTTTCTTTTTTGTTTTAGTAAATCCTTTTTATTATTTTGTGCAAGACCTCAGGGAGACTCTAGTAACATGAGGCGGCAAGTCAACTATCATTTAAACACACCCAGAAACCTTGCCACTCCAGGTAACCCAACGAATCTCATGCACATGTACATGAGAGATATTAATATAATATGTACATTACATTACATGTACACTGTACATGTATTAGCCGTACAGCATAAAGAACATGTAGTAGAGTCAAGCCCTCAATACTTTTTAAAAATAATGTAAAAGTATTCTATAAATTTCTACAATCTGATTGGTCGCTTGAATTGTTTAATAATTTGTTTTATAGACAGCACGTTACTCCCCAAGAGACCCCAGGCTGTGCGAGGTGCCTCGTTGCTATGGCAACCGGAGATCATCTTCCCTTATCTTGCTCTCCTTGAGAAGTACACGTCAACGACCGACCTAATGGAGGCAGCTGCTGGAGCAATACAGAACCTCACTGCCTGCAACTGGAAGGTACTGTCACACTTAATTTATTAATCACAAACCTCTCCCTCTTTAATTAATGACAAGCTCCTCCCTCTTTAATGACAAGCTCCTTCCTCTTTAATTAATCAAAAGCTCCTCCCCTTTTAATTAATCACAAGCTCCTTTCCTTTTAATTAATGCAGTGGGCGGTGTACCAGCGTCACTTGATTCGGAAGGCAAACGGTTTAACACTTTTAATTGAGCACTTGAACCACGCCCACGATACTGTCGTCAGATCAGTCTCCACGGCACTACGTAACCTCTCTATTGATGAAACAAACAAAGAAATAATTGGTAATGAATAGAGGTTATGATGTATAGGATTCATTTCCTTTTGTGTTCTCTCTCTTTTTTCTCTCCTCCTCTATCTCTCCAGGTCAGTACGGTATAGAGGGGATCATCCCTAGGATCCCATATGGTCAGAATAGTTTGGGTATATCAGAATCAACGACCATTTCATTGCTTTGTACACTAATGGAGCTTTGTATAGATAATTATAACAACACCAGGTAATACACTCATCCATCATTATTAGTTGTATTATATGTACCGTACATGTACATGTGTATATTTAGCTCAGGGCTTCTCCCACAAAGCATGCTAAGTGAGCTAAACAGCATGAGCTTCATGAGCTGACAAGCACTACAATACAGTATATGGCTTTTTGGAGCAACTTTAAAAATTCGTAAAAAATCCAAATTTGATCGGAATCAGTTCCAACTTTCTATGCAACATAAGAGCATGTATATGTATCAGAAAAAATTATAAAAATTGAGAATTCTCTCCTAGTCATTTTTGGTCAAATTTAGCCAAAATCCCTGTACTATAGTACAGGGACTTTCACCTGATTTTCGAACAACTTCAAAAATTCATAAAAATTTCAAAATTGATTGGAATCAGCTCAAACTTGTTACACAACATAAGAACATGTATACGTATACGAATAATTATAAAAAATGAAAATTCTTAAAGTTTCATTTTTGGTGAAATTTGGTCAAAGACTCTGTACATAGTACAAGGGACTTTGGCCCCATTTTGGAACAGTTTTAATAATATTTATGTACTCTTTCTATTTTTCAGCACATTCCGTGATTGCAATGGAATTACTCCAATTGCTCGTTTGACCCAATCAAAAGAACACACGCCCAAAGTTGTGTATGCAGCACATAAAGTAACCAAACATTATGATCACTCTTATTTTAAATAATGTCTTCTTTCTCTCTCCCCCTCCCCCCTCTCCCCCTCTCCTTGTAGTTATGTTCAATCATTTCAGAATACAAAGTAGCCAAGTCGGTACTCAAGCAAGAAGGCTGGGACTCTCGTGAGTATCTTCGTCTTTTCTCCGAAGGAGGACACAATTACAATTTTGAGCTGTCACACGCCGGCACTCATCATCCCGTGGGTGGAGGAGGAGGGGCTGCTGGGGGCGGAGCCTCTCGTCGCTCCTCGTCTGAAGAAAAGAAAAAGAAAAGAGCTAATTCTGACCCAATGGAAATTACAAGAATGGCAGCACAATCACAGCAACAACACAGCTTAAAGAAAGTAAGAGACAGAAAATGAACAATTAATAGCCTTTAATAAGGACACACACTACCTGTCCTTAATACAGAGGTGTCAGTCATACATTATTGGTACTTTTGTCATTATATTAATTATTATTATTATTAATAATTTTTTGAAATTTTAGGATTCAACCGGTTCAATACCCCCGGCCCTTTCAAATGTAGCTCCTGCCCCTCCCACTTCATCAGCTCCCATATCCCCTTTACACATACAGGACTTGATAGACCCAACTTACAACATTATACCCAATCCTAAAGACCCTCCCACAGCTACTCCGCCTAGCGACGGCCTGCCAACGACCGTGCCCCCTAGTAACCCAGGCCCGATCAGTATGTATGCTGAAATTAACGATCCAAGTATTGAACAAGTTCGGAAGAAATCGCTAGAACGGCCTCAGTCTCGTTCTGACTCTCGTGCTCATTCTCGTACCGGGTCTCAGCCTCATTCTGAGCCTCGATCGAGTCCTATTGATCCTCGTAGTACCACTCCTCATGAAGGACTCTCCAGTGATGAGCAGGGGGAACCTGGCAATGCTATGTACGCTCAAGTTGATTACAACAAGAAGAGAGAGAGCAGGAAGAGGAGGGAAGAGAAGTACAAGCAAGAGGAGCAGGAGAAGGTCCTTAATAATGGTGCCATTGATTCATGGGTTTGATTTGAAATATTTATTCTCAAGAACTTTTATTACTTTATTCTCTTTCTCTTTCTTAATAAATTTTTGTTTTTTTCTGATCTAATTATTAATTCTTGTTTTTGTCAGTTGTATGCGTATTTGTCATTCCATACCTCATTTTCATTATTAAAAAAATTATTGCAAATTTATAATAACCAGCCCCACCCATAAAACTGGCAACGCCCACGCAGCACTTAGTGGGCGTGGCTCATATCTAATTTAACGTACAGAGCAAAAGGTCAGCAGTGCAATTTTAAAAAGAATGCTAGCTGAGTAAAAATGGCTGCTAGCTCTCCGTCATCTCCAACAAGTGAGGCTCCAGCTTTAAAGAAAGGAGACGAGGAAATAGATGGAGGAAAGGAAGGGACGCCTCCTGTTTCCTCCGATGCAGTTCCTATCGGGTCCACGGTAGGCAGCGGTACCTCCTGGGAGTTGATTCCAGACCCTCCACCCATCCCTGAAGAACACAAGCACTTGATACCTCCGACTACCTCCACACATACTGTAAGTAGCAACCGCTCTCCACCTCTCTACCTTGAAGTAATGTACTCCTTTTGATTAAAGTACATGTGCATTTAGCTATGATTTGAATCTGTTGTAATCAAGAGGTTACTCCATTGTGTTTTTTAAAATAGTAAATGCCATGATGATATTAAGGGATCATATTTCAGTCTGGGACACTTTAGTGTATCCTTATCCTTCCATGCAGCATGTACATATATGGACAATCTTGAGTATTTTGATACAGAGATTAAAGTACATGTGCTTGCACAACCACAGAGATAGGGAGGGACTCCATGCAGCTAATATGGTACCTGGGGAAACATGCTTTGGGTTGCACTGAACACACAACACTCACTCTCTGTATAGCTGAAGTACTGCATTTTAAATAATGATTATTATAAAGTACATGTTAATGTTTATTTATTATTTTTGTGTGGATTTAAGCCTTACGTGTATTTCTTAGGAAACACCCGTTAAGTTATTGTGTGGTTATTTAAGAAAAGAAACTACCCACAGTTTGATAAAGACATGGAAACAAAGATGGTGAACATACAACATTATGCCACTGCTTTGTCACCTCTCTCTTTCTTTCCCCCCCTCTCTCTCCTCTTTCTCTAGGGTTGTTGTAGATGATGATAAATGTTCTCTCAATTACTTCAATTCAAAGACAGATCTACTGCCCCAAGGGTAAGCCCCTGCAATCAGGAACACTAATTATGGTCACATGTGCAGCTCTATTGACCTTTCTAATGCAACGTTCTCTTATGCAATTGAGAATGTTGGAAAGTTTCAATTTGAAATTCAAACTCCGTCTTGTACGTATTCATTTCAAGCTGCTTCACAAGATGCCATGTTCTCGTGGCTGGAAGCTCTCAAGGTACTTTATTGCTGTAATTATTGTTATAATTATTGCTGACGTTATTTTTTAGAAAAAGCGTCGTAGATATGGAGAGAAAGGAGGAGGAGGAGGAGGGAAGTCTCCTGAAGTTGGACTGATGAGTTTGGCTAACAAGAAGAAGAGAGAAGGAGAGGGAGAGAGACAGCCAGAGCAAGAAGAGAATGGCGGTAAGAAGAACACTATTGCACCTGTACTTTTATTAGTAAATGTATCTCTCCTAGTGGTTGTTGATTCTGATCAACCTATGAATACGCCAGGTAACTCATTCTCTGACATTCAAAATTTCATTAGAAAATTTCCAAAACCAAAGTTAGTCTGATAAATTACCTAAACTATTTTAATTATTGTTTATATTGACTTCTATAGTGCTGTTGTTAAAAGGCTGTCAACTAGTGGCTTGAATATAAAAGGGGGAGGGGCTGGGGGTGGGGCAGTAAAGGTAACTGTAGCAGCTGGTGGAGAGGAAGACAGGAAATCAAGTTTTTATCTGGACATAGCAGAAAATCAAGAAGAGCAGCAACTGTATGTTTTATTATTATTAATTTATTATTATTATTATTATTATTATTATTATTGTTGTTGTTGTTGTTGTTGTTGTTGTTATTTGTTGTTGTGATTTAGAGAATCGCCTGTTGTCTCGTTAACTGATTTACAAAAACCCAATGCTGATAATAGCGATACTAATAACGATGCAATGACCACACCTCCTACCATCAGATCGAGAAACCCGTAAGTAAAGAACAAAAGCATATTTATGCTTGAACTTTTTATTTTTTTCTGTCCCTCCATTCCTTACAGTATCGGTGGTTGGGTCAAGAAAGTCACTACCTCCAGGTAAGGCTATACATGTACATATGTATGTCCGAACTGAGTGTTTTGTTTTAACTAGTTTCAGTTTCAATTTCAATAATTGTTTGTTTTCCATTTGCAGACAAAGTGAAGTAATCGAAAACTGTCAGTCTTGTCGAAAGGTCAGTAATTAATAAACGAGGTCATGAATAATTTATTAACTTATTATTGTTACTGTAGCTTCAAGAGTCTTTGGATTTCTTGAAAAATGAATTGTCTTTGAGAGAACAGTAATAATAATAATAATAATAACAATGATTATTATTATACTTAATTGCCTCTTCATTGCAGAGAAGTTAAAGACAGAGATGAAATGATGGAGTTTCTAAGAAGTGAGATAAGGTAACATTTACTGGTACATGTTCCTACATGTTCTTACATGCTCTTTTACTCTCTCTCTCTCTCTCTCTCTCTCTCTCTCTCTCTCTCTCTCTCTCTCTCTCTCTCTCTCTCTCTCTCTCTCTCTCTCTCTCTCTCTTTCTCTTTCCTTCTCTACAGACATTCTGATCTTCAAGATAAAGTCAGGTAATATTAATAACAATTATTACATAGAAAGTTTGAGCTGATTTTGACTTCAATTTTTAATGTTATGGCCATTTTGTAAAATTGGCCAAAATCTGAAAAATCCCTGTACTATAGTCCATGGTTTTTCAAAAAAAATCACCCCCAATTTTTATTACGTTACTAGGAAAGAATTGATTAAAAATTCTAGTGACAATGATGATAAAATTGACGTTTTAACTCAAAGGGACCAACTGATACAATCAGTGAGTGTGTTAACATTGTGTCAACAACTTGTTCGATTAGCATTTACTGTCATATTAATTTTGTGTTAACTTTGCATTCATTTCACATCAAAATAGTTGCAGAATACCCTCGAATCTTTGAGAATAGAAAACGACAGAATCGAAACCGAACTGAAGTAATAATTATTAATAATATATCTCCTTTACCCTTTCTCTCTCCTCTCTCTCTCTTCCTCTTCAAAAAGATCAAAAAGAGATAAATGTGCAGAATTGAATGAGGAGGTCACCCTTTACAAAGAAACCCTCTCCGTAAAGGACCAGGTGGTCATGGAATTGACTAATAAAGTGAGAGAGAGACAGAGTGGATTTTATTTTATTTCTTTTTCGTCAGATATTCAGTTTGCAAACTGGAGGGCAAGTACCAAACAAGTGAGTCTGTCCACGTGTGCCGGAATTTTTGTAGTTTCTAAAAAATCAAATTTAATTAAATTAAGCATTAAAAACAGATTAAGCTCACAAATTAAAATTATATACATGTGCATTCTATCATACGTATGTTGAAAATGTAATTAGCTCCACCTCTTTTTTAGTCCTCAGGACGTGATGCTCCCGACCACCACTAAGATGTTGGAACTTGAAATAATGAAACTCAAAGTAAGCCACGCCCAGTGACCACACCTGTTACTAGACTCCTCCCTTTAGGAAACTGTAGGCGCTTATAAAGAACAGAATGCGTTTCTGTCTCAGGAAATAGTCGAATTAAATAACTTGAGAACTAACGACTCCAACGACAAGAAACGACTTGAAGGGTGTGGCTTAAAAGGGGGAGGGGAAGCATACATTATTATTATTATTATTATTAATGTTAGTAATTATTTTATTTTTAGTAAGATACAAGAGCTTGAAGCAGAGTTAGTCAAAGTCCAGTCCAAGTATGTCATATTACTGAAGGAAGCTCAGACTCCGAAACACAGTAAGACTATTGAAAAAGAGTATATACATACATGTACATGTGCAGTATTTAAAAGTTGGCATATGTTGTTGTATTTATATGATAAAAGTGGAGTTTTAATACATGTGTAACTGTAAGTTTTTTGTGAAAACTACAGGCTTACTTACATGTACATGTACATGTACTTAAGCTTTAAAACTTATTTTGACTCTAAGCCTGAAAGATTAAGAAACACATGTTAATGTACACGTACATGTAATGGATGATGAGAGATTCACAGAGTAGGTGTATGTATTTTGTCTTTGTCCTACACTCTCTATTGTCCACATTCCTTTCTCTTTACTCTTCTTCTCTCTCTCTCTTTTTGTGTCTTCATCTCAAGGCCATGATTCAGATGTTGTGAGTCAAATGATGGCAGAGGCAATGGAGCAGCAAGAGACTGGAAAGGATAGAAGCAGGTCCATTATTATAATTTTAAAATACACACAATGTACTTGTACATGTAATTATGAAGTGTAGAAAATTTGAGCTAATTCTGATCAAAATGAGATTTTTTATGAATTTAAAAAAGTTAAATGCTCCAAAATCAGGCCAAAGTCCCTCTACTAAAAATAGCTAAAGAAATTTTTTTATTTATTTGATATTTTGAAGCCAAGCATGCTTTTAACCTCACTTAGCATGCTTTGTGTGAAGCCGTGAGTGTTGCAATGATAATATCAAATATTAATTTATTATTTTTTATTTATACATACATGTTCATGTTCAGTTCTGATACCCAGTATGATGCGTATGGCTTCAAGTACGAGAAACTCGAGGCAGACCCTGATGAGTCCCTCGACTCTTATGCTAAGAGACTGGACCAAGCCCAGCAACCTGATGTAATTAATAACCATTAATAACCATTAATAACTATTAATAACTTATTGCTCCACCCACTGATGTACTAATTGCCCCTTTAGGAAGCCCTGGCTAGTCATATTGCTAAGTGGGATCACTTCATGACCCAGTACACTGGAGGCAGAGAGCTAGTGTCTACTGTGAGTCTCATGTTCATTTTACTTGTACTGTATTATGATTTGTGTGTGGGGATGCTTTTTGAGTGAATTATGTGAAGGATCTCTATAAAATGTTGAATTAAAGTGACATACAAAAACTAAAAATGAAAAAGTTAAAATCAGTTTTATTGATATAATTAGGCTGAATTGAAGTTGTTAATTAGAGGGGGCGTACCCATGCAGCATAGGGGGCGTGTCTGGAAATTCTGTGTCAGACGTACAATTCAAAATCGATATGTAAGTTAATTAACTAGTGATTAATAGTTAATTAACTTGATGTCTCTCTCTCTCTTAGATACCAGGATTCTATTATCAAATATTAGCAGATAATGTATGAAACACCATCACTCTCTCCTCTCTCTCTCTTTATTTTCTAGCTGCCATGTTATATCTTTCCTTTCTTTTCTCCCTCCTCTCTCCTTTTCCATAGGCCAGCAAGACGTCAGTTGCTTTGAGTCAAATTGAGTTAGACTTGTTAAGGACACTCCCATCAAATAAATATTACAATCACGCATCAGCACCTGGTGTAAGTATATTCACTTATTATTATTATTATTATTATTATTATTATTATTATTATTATTATCATCATCATCATTAATACGGATCAATTTATGAAAAATTGTTCCATGATCCAAGTGGATTGAAATAATGCTGCATTGATCTTGCCCATGCCTAGGGGGTGTGGTCAACATAATTTTTCAATGAGAAATAAAACTGCTTGCAATTTTTTACTGCTTGCAAGTTTGGCATTTATGACCTTCTAAGAATTATACATGTCGTATGATTGTCCTTAATGGACAGTCCTCATGCACAGAACTGTCTTTTTATAATAAATTAAGATAGCTTGTATGTGCGTGACATTGATTATCATTGCTTTAATCAAAATATTTTTAAAAAATTGTCCTGAATAATAACTAATCAAAAAGTAATAACTAATCAAAAAGTATTTTTAAAATTGTCCTGAAGTTCTTAAAAGTACTGAAAGTTCTAAACTACGATAAAATGAGTGTCCGTTTACCAAGAATGCTCACTTTTTCCCTTGAGGATCATATATGTAAGCAGTAGCATGAGCAATATTGTTGTGAGCAGAAGGCTCATCACGCTTCACACATATAATCCCAGAGCATTCAGGAGACACACTAAACTGTGGCTTATGTCCAGACGTAAAGGAAAAAGAAAATGCGAAGGTGGCATCATTTATTGTGAGTATAAAACTGCCTGAAATGTTATCAGTGGTACTAGTAGCCTATTATAGAAAAAAATGAATTATAAAATTAAAATACTGTGATAGTATGGAGTCAGAACATTCCGTGTACCCACCATACAAGACAGTTCTGTTGCAGTAATTTTTGATTAATTTAATCTTTAGACAATCCACTCTTGCCCAGAATATAGAAAGCTATTTGTAGAGTGCCTGCAATAGAATTGTCTTGTGTATGGAGAGGAAGCTTTACGTTTGCCCTATACACTCCACAGCCTCTCAGTGAGATATTAAAAGTCATCACATTAACATACCCATCCTGCAGCTGGCTCTTCATTAACATGATCTGGTTTAAAAGTGAAAACCTCTCCATTGCTTTGCAGACTGCTGATAACTCCCTCAATCCCAGTCATATTATAGATAGTCATACCATAAGCTATAAAAATAGAAATTAAATCACTGATAATGTTGCAGCTGGCACTTACATTTTGCCATGTTTAGGTATAGTAACAATGAAAAAAAGAGAAGCTCTAATCACTGCTTATTGTCTGGAAAATAAATGAAACTGATGCTAGCTTGCTTCTGTTTTATAGACCTCTCTTGCTGCTAAGTATATTCATGGCTGTTGTTAATTTAATTACCTGCTCATTCCAATTATAGTGGAAAAATTGTGGCAAGCCCAAGCAATATGTTATTATATAATAATTAAATTTTGATAGCACTCATTTGATCATAATTGTAGTGAGTGAGCAATTATATAATAATTAAATTTTGATAGTACTCATTTGATCATAATTGTAATGAGTGAGCAATTTAATATCAATTTAATTGCTCAGGCTCACCACAATTATAAACAAAAGAGTATTATCAAAATTTGTAATTGATAATCAATCACAACATTTGATAGTACTTGTTTGATCATAATTGTAGTGAGTGAGCAATTATATAATAATTAAATTTTGATAGTACTTATTTGTTTATAATTGGGGCAAGCCTTTGTGCTTATCTCTATAGTATCTTTCTTTCCTTCTCCTCTAACTTATCTTATTGCCTTATCTGCCTAAAGTTATTATCAGTATTATTGCTTTGTAACTAGTCTATTTTTATTATTTTAATATTATTTTTAAAATTATTATTCTTATGATTATTTTAATTTTTATAGATAGCAAAGTTAAGGCGGGTGCTAGTTGCATACAGCTGGTATGATTCGTCAGTTGGTTACTGTCAAGGGCTCAACAGACTGGCGGCCATTGCACTTTTATTCCTTGAAGAAGAAGACGCCTTCTGGACTCTGGTTGCTGTGGTACTTCATTTATTACCTCCGGACTATTACGACAAGACTTTAATAGGTTCACAAACTGACCAGGTACCTCTCTCTTTTTCTTTCTCTCTTTTTAAAATTCTTTTTTTTAGAAAGTTCTTAGTGAGTTGATTACGGATAAAATGGCAATGCTTGGAGGTCATTTGTCAACNTGCGAGTAAGAGGAGGAGGAGGGAGGGAGGGGGAGGGAGGGAGGGAGGGTGAGGGAGAGAGAGAGAGAGAGGGAGGGAGAGAAAGAAAAGTAATGTTTTATTACATTTACTTGTACATATTTTCATTTTTTAGGATTAATTTCTCACTGATCACTTTCAACTGGTTTCATACTCTCTTCATCGATAACTTCCCAATCGATGTAATCATCAAATTATTATTATTATTATTATTATTATTATTATTATTATTATTATTGCTATTTCTTGAATTCCTTCTTTCTCCTCTTAGACCACTCTCAGGATTTGGGATACTTTCTTATACGAGGGCAGTAAAGTTTTATTCCGCTATGCCATGGCCGTCTTCAAAGAGAACGAGGAAGAATTACTGAAACAGGAAAACTCAATACAAATATTCAACAAGATGAGAACAATGGCTCAGCGATCGTCAAACATTAACAAATTAACTCAAGTGAGGACATTTATTAAGGACACCATCAGGCTTAATAGTTAATACAGAGGTGTCCTCATTTTAGAGGTACTTTTGTATAGGTTTGTACCAATTGGGACATTACAAAATGTCTTCATTATAAAGGTGTCCTCATTATAAAGGCTACACTGTACATGTACATCTATGTGTTTTTAGATTGCATTTCATGACCCAATGATGAGAAACTTTTCCAAAAGGAAGATAACACAGAGAAGGGACTACCATCGATCCTTAGTACAGGTCTGTATGTTGATGCATGTTAAATCAATGCTTCCTTCTCTCCTCTCTCTCCTTAGGCTGAGCAGAACTCCATTGAAATTGAGAGAGTGAAACGGAAACATGATTCTCCGAGATACAATGATGTCGATAGCGATGATGACGATACATGAAAGATACTTCAGTAAATATTATTTTATAGACTTTTAGTAATGTAAGTTCACACTTACCCACGGAGTGTGTTTTATCATTATTTATTATTATTATTATTGTTTTTTAAAACTGTTTTTTCTTTTCTTTCACTATAATAATTCTGCTGATTTTTATAGTAATATCGGAAAAAATGTTTTTTATTACACTATAACACACAGTCTAGTTTAATGATTTCTGCAAAATTATTGTTATATAGTAAGACTGTAGAAACAAAAGGGGGTGGGGTTAAAGATTCAAGCCAGTCTGTAATGTTTATAGATAATAATAATTATATGCTAGTTCAAGTGGTAATGTTACTATGTATCAATCACATTTTGATAGTAAACTTAATTGCTCAGGTTCACCACAATTATGATCAAAGTACTATCAAATTTTGTGGTTGATATTCAATGACTACATGTACTCTTTTGTTCATAATTGGAGCAAGCCCGAGTGCTTATCTCTAGTGTAATACTTATGCTAATACTCATGCTGTTTTATTATGTAAACAGTAGCATGAGCAACGTAGTTGTCAGAACCAACTACTTCCTTCTTTGCAGTTGTATGATTTGGAGAAGAAGGCACACTAAAACTCTGGCTTTTGTCCATATGTATAGGGAAAAGAAACCTCAAAAGTCATTTCGTGGGAAGGATTTATTGTGAACTTAAAACTGCTTGAAATGCTATTGCTGACTTCAGTAGCCTATATGGAAAAAAGTTAATTATAAAATTAAAATACTGTGATAGTACGGAGTCAGGACATTGCATATATCCACCATAGAAGGCAATTCTATTGCAGCAATTTGTGGTTATTTTAATCTTCAGACAATAATGCACTGTTACCCAGAATTAGGGCGAAGTAAATTAAATTACAACTATGCTTTTAGGCACTGCTCCGATTTCCACCCTACTATGCTTTGAAATGAATCCATTATTATGCTAATAGTTTAAGCTTTACTCAAATGTCGACTATCAAGTTACATAGTCATGCATCTGTTAAAATTGTAATAATGCCAGAATCTGAAATGTTTTCAGTGACTATGAGTCACTAGAAAATAGAATGGTCTAAGTCAGTGGACTTGCCACACTTGCATAGGTGGGTACTAGCCTAGGCAGTTGGGCTGTTGTACAAGTACTTGTACCACCTGCCATATTGAATTGAAATCATTTGGTCAGGGGTATAGGGCCGGACATTTTGACCCATTATGCTAACACAATAACTTGCCCTACTATGCTCCAAATTATGCTTGCATAATTTACCTAGCCCTACCCAGAAGATAGAAAGCTGCCTGTCAACATGTTGCTTGCATCATCAGAGTAACCAAGGATTGCCTCAGACATGGGGCAGCAAGCACTTGCTAAAATGCTTGAAGCACATCCTAAAGCACTTGTGAAAATGCTTAAGCACAAGCACAAGCACTAATGTTTTAATTTAAAATGTGCTTCAAGCAGTACCTAAACTAAAGCACTGTTAAAAGTGCTTAAAGCACAACTAAAGCACTCTATCTGTAATTTAAGGCAATGCTTGCGGCACTTAGGCTCTGAAAATACCTCTCAATCTTAATCTTCAAATAGATTGAAGTAATAAAATCTGGTAGCTTCTTTGTGGTTGTGGCCATCTTTAAAGGTTTAACTGAAAGCAGGTCTCATGCATATGTTATGATAATAAGATTTAATTTAGCAATGTAAGTTCACACTTACCCATGGAGTGTGTTTTAACATTATTTATTATTAGTAACGCGGTAGCGTTACTAAGTAGGATTCACCCCCAAACAAAATGGCTGCAACGACTTTTGCAGCCTTGCTATACCGGGAAAACGAGCTCCTATGCTTACCAGACTTTATAGAGGACCTCATCTTGACCAGAGGATTCCAATGGTTCCCATAGCGTGGCTCTAGACCTTGTCTAAGAGAAAAGCCAAAAATCGGCGAACCGGCCGTTTTGTTCAGCCACCCTTTTCATCTTCTTCATCATCAAGAAGTCCTGTCAATCCAGTTGTCGGTGTGTATCTCAGTATCAGTTGGTGCTACAAGGATAATTCTTACACCAATCTACTCCAACAGTCTATGCGCAGGTCCATGTCCCATCAGATCATTCTTCAAGGAAAGAAAAAGTGATACTGTCAGTATCACTTTTTCTTTCTGTGACTGCTGGATAGCTGCATGCCGCCATTTTGTTAATTAAGGAAGCATGTGCTGATTGTGCTCCAAAATTTGGGTGTGGTCGCGCATGCTCAGATAGATCTGCAGCTTTGCAAGAAGCAATTAATTTTTTTACCAAGCTATGCTTGGAATCAACTACTGCAATACTTTAGTGGAGGTTTTCAGCTAAAAGAAGGTATTAATCTTACATGTTACTGTTTTATCAAGTGTATGATTTTATTTTATTTTAAAAAACAAACAATTTATATATGATATGCAATGATAATATGAATGACAACAGCCTGGAAGAACAGGAATAGCTGCAACATAGCATGCAGGGAAGATGGACACTCTCAGCTCACAGCTTCTTGAACAAGGGACTTGTGTCAAGACTAGTATTAATTTCACTTGTCATCAGGATATTTGATATTCCTTCAGCATGTCTATTCAATGCTGTCTCTCATAAATG